ATTGTATGCATATAAACATGAATTGTATTTTATGATTGATGAATATATCATCCTTGTTTGTATTGCTTGATTTATTGTAAATTCATATTTGGTAATGAGAAGATAGGCTCATCCTTACAACACCTTTCAGGGAATAAAGATGGTGGATCCCTAAAGACTCGTTAGTTTTTTTAAGCTTTTTATTAGTAGTGGATTAGATCATATATCTAGAGAATGACAACGGTTATGCCATTGTAATTTTATTACACATAGTAATGATGACTCAAATGTTATATTTACTTTAGAAAAAATATTAGAATATGATGTACTCTCACCACTCTTGCTTTTGCCTTTGGGACTCTCTCTCCCTTATATAGCACCTTGTCACTTTGATTACTACTGTTAACCACACAATTAATTCCCTAATTATCACTGTCATAACCACGGGTTAGTTTCAGCTAAATGCTGGCCATGACGCAAGACACTCACCAATTGATTAAGGTACAAACCAATATATATATCAAGGATTGGTCAGACCGTTAAACGCATGAAATTATGTATATACTTTTCTGGGTCATGACTAGCATGGAAGATCAAGTCATTTCATCGCAAAGCGAATCATGGGTACTGAATTGGTAGCTGATACAGGTGACCTTAGTGAAAACGAAAACGTATCCCTAGAAGAATTAACAGAGATAGAGGGATGATTTGGGGATGATGACTAGAATTGTCTTCAATTTTTTGGATGTGGATATATTGTTCATTAGAACTTATTATTTTGTAAATGGTATTGATAAGTCCTAATGCATTTTGAAAATTATACTTTGTAAATATTAAACTCTTATACATTAATGAAAGTAATGCTCTTAAATGTTACTTCAGCCTTTTACTTAAATTTATTTACTTCTGATTGCTCTATTATTGAAAAGTTTTATAATCCTAAGTAATTTAAATGAAAGTTTTATATTTTTACATTTTACATTCTAAATACGAATTTAATTTAATTTTCTCCTTTAATACAAATTTATTTCCTCAAAGTGTATAAATAAATAAGAATATTACACTGCTTATAATTTGAAACCAACGACCACATCCTTTTGAAGATAAATTGCCACAATCGTCACCCGTTGCTTATTCAGAGTATTATAGTAAGAAAAAAAAAATTGCTTTGCTTTGAAAATCCAGTTTAAGACATTAGAACTGTCAAACTTATGAAAATCAATCTTAATGTTCCTTACGTGAAATGGTTGTAAATGCGATCTTGACCTCGCACCAACAGTGGGAACCTCTTTCCTGAGCATTTTTGACGCGAAATCGATATGCTAAAAATTTTGGCCATATTCTACATCATGCTTAGCCAGCATCTCCATAATACACTTCACATTAGCTGACAAATCCTTCAAGCATGTATTCTCAGTCATGGTGGACAATGAAAACACCAAATTGTAAAGAATCACCAACATAACAATTCAATAATGAAGGAAAACAGTGTTTCAGTATGATAGTATATATGTATAGTATTATTAATAGTGTATTTATTTTAATAAAAAAGAAGTATAGCTATCCTTATAAACGAGACAACCATAACAATAAACAAAAAAAATTAAAGAAAAGAAGGCTCACGTAACTCCCGTCCTCACTCCTCACTGTTTCCATACCTTAAAGTATCATTTTCATCCCCATACAAAATCATGCAACTTAACTTAGTCAGTGCTTATGTCTTTCGCCCATGCTCCATTTGAATTCATAACATAAGAATAAGAATAAGAACCTACAAAGAGAATAATTCATTTCTAACTTAGGTAAAATTGTCCCATCACTCAACAGTGATCTCAAAACCTTTCATTTCAGCCTTCTACACCCCAGTTTTCATGTCCAACATGCTTTTCTCCATTGTCCATTCCCCTACCTCATTTCTATAGTACTTTTCACCTTCTATAATATAACATACAAAGTTTTTATTAAAATTTGTAAACAACGCAATCTTTAAAAAGTTAAAATAATTGTCCAATAAATTATTAATTTTTAAATGTTGTTTTTTTTTTCAAAGTGTTTTGTTAGCATTTTTAAATTTCTATTCTCCTACCTAGTTATTTTTCTAAAGCTTTAGATTATAACCCTCGATCTCCTAATACATCTTTGGAGCCGTTTCTCAAACCATCCCTTCCACTTTTAATTTCCATATATGTTACCAAAGTCCTTCCCCGGTGTTGAACTTCTTTTAAACTACCATAATTTCCCCGCACCAACTCTACTTACCTACACTTCAATATTTTTTATTCCCAATCCTGCTTCTTCTGGCCCACAAATGCTAAAAGTCCTTTTGCAATTTGATGATAAATCTAACAACAGATTCAATATTTTAAGAGAGAGAGAGAGAGAGAGGGAGAGAGAATATAAGGGCATGGAGGATAACGTTGAGTTGACGATGCACACTCTAACATCCAAGAATAAATGCTTCACAATTTGGCAAGCATGTTTTTAGAATAGGATTGCATGTTGAGATTTTTCTTGGATTTAACCCCAATTAGTAAATGATGCTACCCACTTTGCAATTTAATATTTATGATGTGTGAAGGGAAAGAAATGCGAAGAAGATTGATCAACTATGGGATGTTATTTTGCTGAAGAATATTTTTATTTTCTTTTGGATTTATGCGTCATTCTTATTCTTTCAAGATACAACTGTTCAATAGCATCACCAAGATGCTTCGCATTCTTGAGCTCTACCTCGCTCTCATCTTCCTCTCATGGATCCTCAATTCTTCACAATATGGTGGTTCACTGTGTAGCCATATGATTAATTTTTTGTTGGAGGTCTCACACTATCTTTTTTTCCTTTCCTGAATAGCATTCTTTCATCTCATGGATCCTTATATTCCCTTAGGTCAAAGTTGTTTAGTACTTCATTGTAAACACATGTTTCTTCTAATGAAATATTAATTAAAAAATTGGCTTACACTTACAAATTCCACAAACTTATCATCAATGGTAAAAATTAATGGTCCATCCATGGACACAAAATTAAGTTATCATTATGTTAAACAACAGCGACATCTATGCCTCCAGTTATCACAATTCTCGCTTCACATTGTGTGTATTCCTTCTCTCTTTCCCCCTTTTTTTCTTCTCCTTTCTCGGTTTATCATTGGCATGCAAATGTATAAAATGCTTTTTACACACAAGTTGGAATTAATTAAATGGTTAATTTGCTTTCTGTCGGGTTCCTTAAGATAATTCCAACAGTAAAATATATATGCTTCTGTATTTTAATGCCCTCGTGGACCAGATGGTTTGGGAACAAGACATAACAACTAGCACAAAATTGTATAAATTTATTAGAATAGATAAAAATATTAATTTAATCTTATCTCATCGTATTTTAATTTATCTTCTAAAATTAGTTTATCTATTTTATTATTATATCTTAAAATTAATTATCGTATATCTTTATAATTATATTAATTAGTTAAGGTTGTAATTAACACGAATCAGAAATTAGTATTTTATATTTTAAGCACATTCTAACATATTATAATATATTTCGGTAAATGTTCATATTCTTTTATTTTTCTTTCACTTTCTATATCTAAAATATCATAATTTGAACAAAATTGTTCATATTGTAAGAAAAGGAACCAGTTGCAACAATTGACACTTTTCTCAACTTTAGTAGTAGCCAGAAAGATTACTGAAGGAGCGGTTCAAGCTGTGGAGCATGGAAGTCTGGGAGGGTAAGGAATTTTATAGCAATTCAATTTTTCAGATGAGTACAAGTGTAAATTTCTTAAAAAACATAACCCATTTTATATACCCTTCACATAGGTAATAAGTATAAAATCTGATCAACCACGCATTATTTTATTATTAAATCGGCGATTATCGATGAACGAATATGTATGGTCCACTTTTTCAAATTTTATTGAATATAATTAATTTTTAATAAAACTTTTAATTTTACATTTATTTTGTAATTATATTATCAATCACATTTTTTCTTCTTCTTCTTGTATTCTTTTTCTTTCTTCCAATCGTCCTAAACTCAAAGCACTGATGGCAATATATAATTATTCATCGTAAGGGATGCAACATATGTGGAATCCCAAGTCTTTGGTCCCATTATTGTTGCTTCATGGGAATAATTTACTTTTTTATTTTTTTATCCCATGTGATAAACTCGCATCTTATCATTTGGTCTGAAGTAATAACAAAAAGTGATCGAAGTTGATTTTTCAAAGATTTGCTTTTATGCATTATTTGATTTTTATTTTATTTTATTTTTGGCCCCTGGTCATCGATGCTCGTCATTTGTGATAATTTTTTATTACAATTTATAAATAATAATTTATGTATTATTTTTTTATTTACATCACTTTTTTACATAATTTGTTAAAATTTAAAATTATACAAAAATATATTTCAAAAATAATAAAAATGTTACTGCTAACTAAAACCAAACCAAAAAATAGAACCTGGTATTAAAAAACAGCGATATTGTTACTTACGAAAATATTATTACAAATTGAGCATGACAAGTAAGAATATACAATCATACGTGATCTGATCTATGTTAAAATAATATTTTATAGTAACAAAATATGTTTATTTTTCATATGGCATTTAAAAATATACCGAAATATGGGATTTAAAAAAAAAAAACAGAAGTATGAAGACTCGAAAATTGACAATAGCAATTTTTGGCTCAAATTCAAAGATTGGAAACAGCTAAAAATTATTTAAAAAATCGTTACAAAAGTGAGCATGAAAAGTAAGAATATATACAACGTGATCAGATATATGTAAAATAATATTTTATTGTAACTAGATAGTCTACTTTTATGTTTTCAATAAATCATCTTCATTTGTATAGTTTTCACGATTTTTGTTTATTATATTAAAAAATATTTTTAGGACAACCGTTGAATTGACCAAAAATGATATAGTTTAATGTTCTGTCGCCCTCCCTACATATAGAAGGTAAATTATTGGACATTAACCAGAGTGAGGGATGCATATTGTGGGAGATATGTCGGGAGCAACGAGGCCTCAATTTGTGCTGTTTGGCTCTTCTATTGTTCAGTTCGGTTATTATGAAGGTTGGGGAGCTACTCTTTCTCACTTGTATTCTCGTAAGGTACTTTTCTTTTCTTTTCTTTTCTTTTAATGTCCCTTCTTCATCTTGAAACGTTGACCTCTGATATATAGTGAAAGAGATGATTGATGTTGAGTTGATTAATCGTATTCAGACATTAGAACGAACATCTTTCATCAGTCTTATTCATTCCTTTTGTCGAAAATGAAGAAGGCACAAACTCATTTTTTCGGTTTTTTCCTTCCTTTTTGCATACAAATTATTGAGTTGATTAAACATGTTCATACATTAGATCCATTCCTTTAATCATAAAAAGGAGAGACGGGTTCATTTTTTCTGTTGATCCCTCCCTTTTAGATTCAAAGTTGTAAAGAAAGGTTATAGAGATTTTGACATATGAATAACTTAACTCTAATAGTAGTTTTGAGAACATGAGATTTTACTAAAATTTCTAATATACTAATGGGAAAAAAATTTAATCATTATTGCTTAATTTGTTTTTGTTAATATAATTTCTCTTAATAAAAATTAATTTATTAATGTAAATGTTAATTATGAATCTATACTAACGATATATAATATTGACGATATACACTAATTTTTATTATTAATGAAATTTACTGTTGGTAATTATATATTTATTTATTAGTATAAAAGTTGGTGTATATCATTGTTAGATCATATTCATACCATCGGCGAAGACCCACCAATGTCGATATTAATATAATTTTTGTTAGATAAAAATTATACTATTGGTAAAGCCTGAATAATGATTAATATATTTTTAGATTAATTTAATTTATTAATTCTTATACATTTTTAAAAAATTAAATAAGTTTTTATATTAATTTTTTAAATTAAAATTATTTTTAATAGAGTTTCTAAGTTTTGTTAAAGCAAATATACCTATTTAAGTACTCTTAAATAATTTAAGAACCCAGTGAATAATTAAAATATTTACCTGGTTTTTAAAATATTTCAAACTTCTAAGTAAGTTATTGTACTTTGACAAAATCTTAATGGAATGTAGGTGAAATTTTAAATAAAAATAATTTGTAAATACAAGGACTTAAATATAAATTAAAATATACAAATATAGTTGTAAATTTTAAATAATTCAGCGACTATAATAAATTAATTTAATCTATATATTTTTATTTAGTATATGATTTGTTAGTATTGTTGTTTATTGTGTGTGTTACGTGGTAAAAGATTGTAATAATTATGGCTTAAGTTTGTCACGCTGAGTTAGATTTAGTTGTAACATCTCATTAATCATCTTTGATAAGATTAGAGGTGTCATCTTTTTCCAAATTTTTACTTTCACTATAAATAAAAAGTGACTACTCACATTCATACCAAGTATTCAGCTTATAATTACGTCAAAATGAAAAATAAAAATACTTAAATATTTATTATTAGTTTTTACTGAACCTTCTGGTAAAGCCACTAATAATATTAAACTATTCTACCTTTTTTTTTTTCTCTCAACTCTTTTGTAAATCTGTGCTAAAAAAATTACTATTTTCGCGGCTTAATTGCGTTACTCCTTACGCTAGGTTGTTTCAATTATGAATGGTTCAAAGTGTAATTTTTATTAAAAAAATATAATATTTAATATTATTAATATATGAAATCTTAGAATATTTTATAAGTTTTAATAAAGAATTTAGTATGACTTTTAATATAAAATGATTATCTAACATTTTATTTTGATATGGTAAGTAGATATAAAAAGAGAGAAAATAAAAAATTATGAAGAATCACTTACTAAAAAAATTATAAATCAACACAGAAAAGTGAGTGTAAAAATTTAAGATTGTATAATATGTCAGCACGCTCATATGGTTCATAGATTTTGTTTTCTTATATTTATGGATGATCCTGTGATGTGACTTTTACCTTAGACTTCAACATATATTTGTTATTTAAACTTTTTCTATTGGATTTTTTTTTCAGTTAAATGAAACAAAAGAAAAAACATTTTTTAACACATGATGACAATTTAATTATACCATATCATTACTTAGCAAAAGTTTATATATATATATATATATATATATATATATATATATATATATATATATAAAAGAAATTAAAAATAATTAATTTTTTTAGACGATGAACATGTTTAAGTTTTAATTTTATTCACATTTTGTTTGACCTTTAAGGGATAAATATATCTTGTTAAGTAACATTGCACAATACATGTATTAGTAAGTGAATGTTTGGTAGATTAATTTTAAGGGTTATATATTATGATATAATTAATTATATTTATTTTTAACATTTATGTCTGAATATTTAAATAAAAAGAGATTTTAAAATAATATATTTCTTTTGAATTTCCTAAAAGATTTATTTTTTAGTAATATTACAAAAAAAATGTATGAAATTATTTATAATAATTCATTTTGTATTGAAAATAACTAATAATTAAAAAATAAAATTTGGGATAGAAATTACCAAAGCATATTGTAATATCCAAAACTTATTTTATTAAATTTAACAGCTAATAGTCGGTGAAAATTGAATTTAGTATAAGTAAAATTCTTAAGAGTTGAGATATTATTCCTCTCTACATAAACCTGATGTGTGTCAATTACTTTTTTAAAACTAAAATCATTTCATTTAATAATTTTATTAGCTTATTCCTTAGATTGAAATGTTTTATTAAATGTATTAAATTTATGCATATATATATATATATATATATATATATATATATATATATAGTTAGTTAGTTAGTTAGTTAGTTAGTTAGTTAATAGTTTACTAATTAATTTTATTTAATGTACAATAATTTTAAAATATAAACATATGTCAATTATAAAGTTACAAGCTAAAAATATTTAATTCATCTGAAAATTAGTAAGCATAGCAAATAAAATAAAATTATATATTTCAACATTTGAATTTCTTAAATTCATATTTTATACAAAAATATTGAAGTATAATAAATTTTAAAAACATATTTCTATCTTTCCAAATTGTCAAAAGAGTGAACTTAAATTTATAAATATCTTTTGGGAAGTAATGATACATCAGACAACGACTAATTAACTTTTCCATCTTACATTAACATGATATAGGCAGATATAGTTTTGCGAGGATATGCTGGTTGGAATTCAAGGCGTGCTTTAGAGATTTTGGATAAAATTTTTCCCAAGGTATTCAATTTTTTAAAGTTATATTCATATGTTATATTCAACGATTCTCATTCTTTTGATTGAAGTTTTAATCCTTTCAACATAAATGTTAAAAAAAAATTCCTCCTTTCCCTTCCTTATTATTATTATTATTATTACATGAGAAGTCTATGATAAATGAAGCTCACAAATTGAATATATGTGTTATGTATTAATTTGACGAATCTTGCACACGTTCTGTTGAACATGCCATAGAAGTTGCCATTGATATATTAGAAAGATTTCACTGATTTTCACAATATTAACTTACAATTTAATAAACTTATTATAATTATCACAAATTGCAAAGCTTTTGTTTGTAGTGTTTATTAATTATTTTTTACATTTATTGTTGTACAATGTGATTACTTTGATTCTTAGTGAGACTGACAAATAAGAAATTGCCCTTTTGAACTGTCATTTTTTAACTAAGAATGCCGCAGAGCAACCATCATTAGTTATTGTCTACTTTGGTGGTAATGATTCTACTTATCCAAATCCAAATGGCATCGGTCCTCATGTACCTCTGGAGGAATACATTGAAAATATGAAGAAAATTGCTATCCATATTGAGGTAAATTTTACCATGTTTCTTCTTAATTATTATCATTTAAAATAAATTATTAGTCTTTTAATATTAATTAAAATATATTTAAAAACACAATAAAAATAGCTTAACATTATTGAATTTAATGTACTGATAACATTAAGTATTATCATTTTCAATAAAAAGTTATAATTTATTAATTATTTATCATATAATATTCAACAACCTTTAAAAAATACTCTTATGTACCATAGGTCCATGTGCACAAAACTAGGTTTTCTTTATTTTATATTTATGATTGCTAGTTTGACACAAATCCTATTGATTGACAGGGCCTTTCAACTAAGACTCGCACTATATTTCTCAGTACTCCTCCTATCAACGAGGCACAAATCCATGAAAATTGGTAACTATTATAATTGATCTGTACTATCATTACAATTTGACGTAAAGGTAAACAGAAATGCAGCGACAGATGTAGAAAATTTATATATGCCATAGAAGAAGTAGAAACATTATTTTTTATATGTCGGGGAATCTCTAACTAATAATTAGAGCTTAATTTTTATAAAATATAAATATTATCAAAGTTTTATCTCTCTCTCTCTCAATATATATATATATATATATATATATATATATGTAAATATAATTTTTATATTAATTATTATAGAAATCAATAATTATTGTTAAATTAATAATTTATGATTGAGTGATAATATAAAAAAATTACACTATCAATGTGTTTTAATTAAATATATGTGTAAAGAAGATGCATTTAGTAAGAGTAATTTTTATATGAAAGTGAGAGAAATAAATTTAACTAATACAATCATGCAAGCAAATCCTTCTACGTAGAGTAAATACTAATCATCATGCCTTGACTTATGTCTAGACTATGATTAGTTAGAAGACATATATGTATATACTTGCTAGCATATGATTAGTTAAGAGAATGTTTAATTGCTTTACAAAAACTTTCAACACCCTTATAGTATTATTATTATTTGAAATTTTACATTCAATTTTAAACCCTAATGAATGAATCGTTGGAGTGAAACTAGTGATCCAGAAGGACACCAATTACGGACAAATGAAGCTTGTCGAATATACTCTGAAGCATGTTTGGAGTTATGTCGCGAGATGAACATCAAGGCCATTGATTTATGGTCTGCAATTCAAAAAAGGGATGATTGGCAAGATGTTTGTTTCATGTAAGTAAGTCTTATACATCACAAAATTGAAACTGTTCAAATATGCATTTCCTTGACTTGATCAATTGCTTTGGTTATTCCTTAGTGATGGAATTCATCTATCAGCGGAGGGAAGCAAAATAGTGTCAAAAGAGATATTGAAGGTCCTTAAAGAATCAGAATGGAAACCAAGTCTTCATTGGAAGGAAATGCCAAGTGATTTTGCCGAAGATTCACCCTATGATCCAGTTGCCTCTGATGGAAAGACAACTATTAATCTCTCTGATTTTGCATTCCCCAGTGATGAGGAATGGGATTAGAATTGTGTGCATTGAAAATGATATATCAACATGCTTCATTTCTTAATGAAATATTGAAATATAATTTTTTCACTCTTATAAATTACCTAGATATAATGAATGAATTTACTATTAAATTTTTTTTGCATACACAAAGACTTTAACTTAAGATCTTGTCTAAGCGATATCGAGTCAGCATGTCAATCAAACTAATTTCTATTGATTTTTTTTTTCTTATTATTCTTAAAGAATCAATTCTCCGTATCAAATGGTAAGAATTTTGAGGTTGTGAAGTAGTAAATGAAAATATATAACTAAACACATTTTAATTTTTTTAAAGCATTTTAATTGTTAACTAAACATTTTTAAAACACTTTTTCTCAAAATTTATTAAAAATAATATAATATAATTTATTGACGTTATTAAATACTATATTTTTAATAAAAAAATATTATTGTATATGTTAAAATCTTCAACAACTCATGAGGGAGCATTTAGGTTAGAATTTATAGAATTTAATTCATCCAAAAAAAACTCTTTAAAACAAACATGAAGATTAGCATAAACAATTGATAAGATCCAACTATTAATTTAATTAATAGAAACATACATATTAATAACATATTTATATTTAGAAATTAAAGATATTTTCACTTTTAAGGATTTGCGTAAACATCAAATCTCTCCTAAGAAACTAATTCAATTAATCTTAAGATAATAATCAAAATTTATCTTTGACTAATGTTATTGATTAATTTGAGAAATGTTTTACCATTTGCCTTTCTACGTTGTAAAATATTAAATTCATTTAATTTAAATTAAAAGATCTAATAGCACCTTGACAATGGGTTAGTAAGTTTATATGATCTAAAATGCTTGATTATCTAATATGATCTCATTATTAAAATATTTTTTTCCTTTATCAATTTCCATTCCTTTATTACAATCAAGTGGTTTATTAATAAGAGTTTTATCTTTAGAACTAGAGTATAACCAATCTTTCCTTTTTTCAATAGGAAAGATTTAATAAAAATCTCTATCTCTATAATCTCTATATTTTCTTTTAGTATCTATGTATAAGTTCTAGATTTTTTTTCTTATAATTAACTAAATTATCCTTCTCGTTAATCTTAGAGTCTATCTACTTATTATGGATAGAAAGTTTCTTATTAGAATCATTCTTTACTAGCATATGCATTTGTTTATATGTATTGTAGTTCTTAGTGGGTTAGACATTTTTCTTAATCTATTTTGTTTTTACTGAAGTGCTTAGTATCCAAGTTATGAACTAATTAAAATTCACATCTTAAGGAAATTTGGAGTTAGGAGTAATGTTTAGAACTTTCTACTATAAAAGTCTACTTTCTCCATTAAAATCAACATTATTTAAAGTTTCAAATCTTAAACTTGAACTTACATGTTCACTGTTTAACATTATTTTGCCTACCCTAATTTTTATATTATCTTCTTTTTCTTTGAAATCACTTAATCAACATCTAATGGCCAAAAATACTTTAATTAATTAATTATTTTATTATAACTCAAATTAGTAACAATAACATCATCCATTTTTATCTAATTAGATTATTACCATTACCATTTAATTCCTCTCTCTATTTAAGTAGATCATGATGATTTACTTTATACTTGAAAGTTAAATTCTTGACCTACAAATAAGGCATAAACCCTTATACTTTATATTAAATTCTTGAACAACAACTTTAAAAGAAAAAAAAAATCTTAGAACAATTTCAATACATATTCTTGCAAATTTATCTTTAGATTGGACTAAAGTATTATAGTTAATATTAAGCATAGTACTTATACTAATTCCTATTTGTTATAAGAATTTTTCATTAGACAGTTTTATAGAAAGGTCAAGGATTCTAACTCATAGTGCTACTTTCTTAAAATTTTAATCTTTAAATTTAAATAAATATTTTTATTTTGAAATAACAAGTAATGATATAAAACTAGCCATTATTCCTCAAATAAAGCATATCAATTATCATCCAAATTATTGAATTTACAAAAAAAAAAAAAAATCATCATTTGAATCTAAAAAACTTTAATATCTTTATTTTTATCCTAAAGAGATTTTAGTTTTTTATTTATTTATGTATTTCAAGCTTATAGATTTTCCCTAAAAGTTTAACTATTAATATCAATTTTCAGATAGAGAATTAACTTTCATAATATATTAGAGAGAGTATTGATTCAAGATACGTAGAACTTTATGATTCTAAATCTTAATGATATCTTCAATTTTTTAAGGGATTTGTAAATCTTTTATTATAAAAGAACAATCTAATTGATTTTTAAATTAAAATTGATTCTTTTGAATAATAAGTAATAACAATTTCTCTCTATAAAAACTAAACCCTAACTAAGGTTGATTAATTTTTGAGTAAATAATAAGTATGTATTATCTTCACAATATTTTCTTCCTTTGTTTTGTCATCAATCTTCACAGTCTTCATCCTTCTTGCTATCAAATCTTCCTTTTCTTTATATGCTTGCTTTATCTCCATTATGAGTATGGTTAATTTACACTAGTAAAGGACACTTTCTTAGTTAGAGATCTCACAATTTCTTAAAATCAACAATTGAAATTACAAAATCATGTCACTCCTAAAAAAAAATAAATTATTCTGTGATGTAGGATTATGTAATCCTAGCTACTTACGCCAGTGTCAAAAGTTTGTAACTAAAAAAAGTATTGTAACATGAGTGGACAGAAAAAGAGAAAAATAATCTTGCAAAGAGAAAGAGAGAGAGAAGCAATGTTAATAATTATATTATTTTTTATTTTAAAATTTAAGATTATACATATATATTATTCAAGAATTATTTTATTTACAATTATATTATTTAAAAAGTTATTCATAATAATCAAAAAACAAAAAAAAAAGTCATTTTCTTAAAAATTATTTTTGATTGAATTTTTTATTTTAATTTGTATCAAAATATTTTTAAAACGATTTATGCATGTACGGTTACATGTTAATAAATAAATAAATAATTGAGTGAAAAATATACTTTTCCCCCTTAATTTATTACGCTAGTGGAAATTTCTATCTTCATATGTATAATTAACACAACACATCCTAATTTATTATAACTATTGCAATTTGTTTCTTTCATTTAATTTCAAAATTATTTTTAATAAAATATTTTATAAATTATTTGACTACCTTTTACAAGTAATTAATTAGAAAAAGTAAATAATAATAATAAATAAATAAATAAATAAATAAATTTTTAATGATGACCTTTAAGTTTATCTTTAAAATTTTAAAATTAATCAAAACAAACTTTATAAATAGTAGAACTCTATAAAATAAAATAAATTTCATGACTGTTCTACTCATAATTATTTAATTTTATTTCAACTTAAATAATTATTTATTTTTATTTGAAATAAAAATGTATAAAAAAGTATTTTTATTTCAAATAATAAATTATTGTTTTTAGTGAATGCTGTGATGCCTAAATATTTGAGGAGTATTTTTTACCCTTTCATCTAATATAATAAGATATAAACATTTGTTAATTAATAATACATTTGAGTTATTGTATACTCTCATCACAATTAGTGTTATGCTTACTTAGAAGTAAGAGTATTTTTTTTTTATTTCAATCTCCTACATCGTTAAGAAAGAAGCAACAAATTATAGTTGTTTATGTGAGGTGATTTGATTATGGTGGTTTATTTCAAGTCTTAATATAAACCATAATAGCAAAAACACAGGACAATTATTATACAAGATAACGAAATATTTATTTTTAACTTTGTTTATTTGATTTTTTTTTAATTGTATAGCATGTTTAATGTGAATCATCTGCTAAAACACCCCTAGAAGTAGTTTTCTAAAGAATAATTTTCATGCATCATCTCTTCGAGTCTTCTACTAACAATTCAATAAACGCACCTTAGTTGCCTTATTCTTTATGAACAATAAATTTTTTTTTTTTTAATATTTCTTTGGAATAGTATGTGACAAGGAAAGTGTCAAAAGATCTTTCAATTTATAGGGCAAAGAAAATGTAGGAATATATTGGAAAAGTTATTTGAATATGGTATAAAATGAAAAGAAGTACAATAATATGGTGTATTTTGCAGTAATGCCAGAATATATCATTGCAAAAAATGTCAATGACAAATTATACGTGAACAGAACTATGTCAATGATGAATTATACGTGAACAAAACTATGTAGGAAGCTTAGATTGCAGTTTCAGGTTGTACAAGATTCTTTAAAAATGCCAATGACAATTTTAATAGTTGTCAAGGCTCTGCAAAAATTGTTACATCTAATCTTTGCATAAGGTCTGTTTAAACTAGCCAAAGGCATTTTTTGACCAACTATTCACCTTGCAATGCACAGAAATGAAGTCAGGAAGATGCCTGACATCTATAAATTCACCAAAGGCATTTTTTGACCAATTGTTCACACTACTATGCACTGAAACAGAGCCAAAAAGACCTCTGAGCCTTGTAAACTCGCTAATGGTCAGTTTTGACCTATATCCATCACATCATATCGGGAGCTGTAGCAAAGAAGACCCCATAAATTGCCAATAGCGATTTTACCTCTTTATGTATGGCTACCAAAGCTTATGCTGCATGTGTGGAAAGAGAACGAAAAATTGAAGAAGAAGAGGCTTTCTGGACAAGAAGAAGGCTGAGAAAGAGAGAGAGAGAGTAGGAAACTAGAAAAAAAACAGAAAATAAGAAATACAATTTTCAGAAAAAATAGTTAAAGATTCAACTATTGATTCAAGAAAACATATATTTAAGCAAATTCAAAATTTAAATATTAGTTTTTCAATTTTATTTAATGTGTATTTTAATATATATGCTATTATTAATGTTTTATGTTAAGTTTTAACTTTTTTATATATGATGTGAAGTGGATTATATTATAATGTAATTTTGCTATAAAATTAGTTAGTTAGATTAATTTAGTAATAAATTATTTAAGTTTATTTTAGAATGAGTTAGGGTAATTTGTAATGAATTA